GTGTGTGTGTGTGTGGGGGTGTGTGTGTGTGTGAGTGTGTAAATGTGTGTGTGTGAGTATGTGTGTGTGGGTGTGTGTGTGGGGGGGTGTGTAAATGTGTGTGTGAGTGTGTGGGTGTGTGTGGGTGTGAGTGTGTGTGTGTGAGTGTGTAAATGTGTGTGTGTGAGTATGTGTGTGTGGGTGTGTGTGTGTGGGTGTGTGTGTGTGAGTGTGTGTGTGTGTGTGTGTGTGTGTGAGTGTGTGTGTGTTCATGGCTGCAATTAACAGTTTAAACTCAGACCCGAGTGCGACAGACCTGATTTCTTGAATAAAGATAAAATGTCTGCAGGTCATAAAGAACTATCTTCTTGGGACAATGAACATCAAAACGTGATGTCATGTTGCCCATGTTGACGCGATGAGGAAGATGAAGAAGACGTTCCTGTAGCTCCACTAGAGACTCCTACCTGGGGGGGGGGGGGGGGGGGTTGTCCACAGAGGGCGGCCCCCCCCTCATGAATTACTCTGACACCAGATACTTCACCTGCTCGCCCGGCGTGACAGGCGGCGGCCCGCCGGCCGAGCGCGCTCGGTGCTTAATGGCTAAATTGGGAAGACTGTTACTAATCGCTTATTGAATAATGAAAGTGACACAGCTGATAAAAGATTTCAATACGGTGGATTATTTATAATAGTTCACTTAAAGCCGCTCTCCGGCTGACTAATAAGGGGGCGAGGACGACGGGCTCGGGGAGCGTCTGACAACCGCAGGAAAATAAAATAATAAAACACATGAAGGAGGCTGAGGGTTAAAGAAAAGTCAATACATAAAGGAATACAGGAGGAAACGAAGAAAGATCATGAGTAACAGAAGACGATTACACAACAAACAGGAACAGGAAACAAGAGACTAAGAAATGTACAAGAAAACAGAGGAAAGGAGCGAGACGAGAACAAGGGAAGGAGGTAGACAGAGGACGACAAGGAGATGAGGTGGTAGGAGACAGGAGAGGAAGCGTCTATCCGTCACTCAGACAGCCACTTGCCCTGTCAGCTGCTTGATGCCTCCGTGATGGAGAGACGAACATTACACATCTGCTGCCGCCACATCTGTTCAAGCAGCCACGGTGAGAGCCGGGAAATCTGGCTTTATATATATATATATATATATATATATATATATATATATATATATATATATATATATATATAAATATATATGTACATAAATATGTATATTTATTATATACAGTGTGAGGGAGACGACACTTCTGATTGGATTAAGAAACGCGAGGTTCAGTATTATTTATCTTCTGTATTACTGTGAGTTTCTACGTGATACTCAGCTGTATGTTCTTATTATTAAAAACAGTTCTTCTGTAATGTTGCTGACAAACAAACCAAAGACATGATCTCCTCAGTGGAGGAAACCAGACCTGAACACCCAGCTTCATCCAACAAAAGGACCACAAATAAAGACCAACACACACTGGCTCTTAAGATGTTTAAATAATGATCAAAGCTGCCTTCCTTCCTTCCTTTCTTTCATTGTTACTGAGCTTCCAGGTCCTCAGAGTGTGATAACTATGCATCACTACGTATCCTTTAAATCAACACAACACGTGTGTCAGCGGTTCAGGTCTTTACTTCCCGTCGTTACGTCTTCACTTCCCGTCTTTACGTCTTCACTTCCCGTCTTTCCGTCTTTACTTCCCATCTTTCCACCTTTTACCTCCCGCCTTTACTTCCTGCCTTTACTTCCCATCTACTACCATCTGTCGATTACCTCCTGCCTTTTACTTCCCGCCTTTACTTCCCGTCTATTACCGCCTGTCTTTTACTTCCCGCCTTTACTTCCCGTCTATTACCACCTGTCTTTTACTTCCTGCCTTTACTTCCCGTCTTTACTTCCCGTCTATTACCTCCCGTCTTTACTTCCTGCCTTTGCTTCCCATCTACTACCATTTGTCTATTACCTCCGGCCTTTTACTTCCCGCCTTTACTTCCCATCTATTACCACCCGTCTTTTACCTCCTGTCTATACTTCCCGTCTATTACCACCTGTCTTTTACTTCCCGCCTTTACTTCCCATCTATTACCACTCGTCTTTTACTTCCTGTCTATACTTCCCGTCTATTACCACCTGTCTTTTACTTCCCACCTTTACTTCCCGTCCATTACCACCCGTCTTTACTTCCCGTCTATTACCACCTGTGTTTTACTTCCCGTCTGTACTTCCTGACTATTACCACCTATCTTTACTTCCCGTCTATTACCACCCGTCTTTACTTCCCACCTTTACTACCCGTCTATTACCACCCGTCTTTACTTCCCGTCTTTACCTTCCTGTCTTTTACTTCCTGTCTTTACCTCCCACCACGACCCCGGAGGTCTCAGATCAGGGTTCCGGTTATGTCACAAACTGGTCCAGAGTTAGATCAGAGGAAGAGGAAGAGGATGAAGAGATGAAGGGCTGACAGAATGAGAGGATGAGGAGATCTGTCCCTCCTATCGAGAGGTCGGGAGTCTCAGACGATCACATGACTGCGTTTCCCAACCCGGGTCATAGACTGTACACGTAGTACTGTGAAGAATACTTCAGAGTACTGTGCTGAAACTTCAATGATGCAGAATGTTATAGGTAAAATTATATTTATTTACACCTGTGTGAGTATAGTAGGAAGTATTTACAATTATACTGTATAATCCTACTGCTTTTTAAACGATAGATATTTAAAGTATTTAGAAGTACACAAGTAGATATGTATTTGGAAGTATACAATATATATATATATATATATATATAAGCATGTACATATTTGGAATCATTTTTAAAGTATGTAAATCTTCATGTATTTTGAGGCATCTAAATATATAGTTGAACGTGTTTGGAAGTATCTTAAGTATATTATAAGTGAAATGTGTGTACAAGTACACAGATGTTTAGAAACATTGGTTAGAATGATGTCTTTAGATTAGTGGAAGTAAATGGATATTTGGAGGCTGGATTTGAAAGTGTACAAGATATTTGAAGTACTTGTTTCTGGGGGGGCATTTAGCAGTCGGACCTGGGCGGGGAAAGTGAGAGGCGAGGGGGGGGGAGATGGCGTTACCTTCCGCAGTACCAGAGAGGCCGTCGGCTTTAAAGTTGCTGGTGCTCTTCTTCCGGCGGTGCTTCTTGCGGTTGGCGTGCGGCGATGGCGGCGGCTCCATCTTGGGACTGGTGGTACTGGAGATACTGGGACTGGAGCAGACTGAGTCTCCCAGACCGGTATCTACAGAACCAGAAGAAGACACAGAGGCTGGGATTTTCTTCTTCTACTGTTCTTGTCTGAAATATGTCGACCATACCGCGACTAATCTCATTGTATCTAATGCAGTACTTTAAAGCAGTACACACATATTTAGAGGCACAAATGACTGGAAGTATATGAGGATATAAATATAGATATTTAGAAGTATATGGAAGTATATAAGGATGAATATATTTAATGGTATTTGAAAGTATATAGGATATACATATTTGGAACTATGTAAGAATGAATATATTTAAAGTATTTTGAATTCTGTGAGTATATAAATATTTGGAACTAACAGTCGCTAAAGTTTAAAGTAACAGGAAGCAGCTTCACAATAAAAGCCCAGTTAGATCTTTGACTGTGAGACAGGAAGTGATATATTTCTGACCTTTCTAGATCATCCACTTCCTGTTCCGACTCGTTTTTGATGTTTTTGGGGGTTCATTTATTCCTCCACTGTTTTCTATAAACATACATAGATCTTGTGTAACTCACATACCTTTAACATGTGGAGGAAATATAGAAATAACAAGACGAGGATCAGATACCCAACCGATACCCAATCAGAGGAGGGAGGCGCTCGCTGACAGCTGTGACTAGCTGCAGAATAAAATAACATTCAGCTTCCATCAATATCACAGCGCTGACAAGACAACACACACACACACACACACACACTCACTCACACACACACACACTCACACACACACAGGCGGCCCCAAGGACGGCCATAACTTATTCCACAATCGTTTAGTCTCAGCTCAAGTGGAAAATGTGACAACTTATCTCTGCTGACAAGATGCCGTCCCCGAGAGTGCAATTAAACCGCCGTGGATTAACGGCCCTCCTCCCGTCTGCAGGCCGAGCTCCGTCCTCCTCCTGCTGCTGCTTCACCTCCCCTCTACCCTCCCTCCTAACCTCCTCCCTCCTCACCTCCTCCCTCCTTACCTCCTCCCTCTCTAATCTGAACCTCCTCGGTTTGGACAATCTCAAGATAAAGTCCTGCATCGTCTGCAAAATGTCGCACGCGTTCCATAGTGGCAGTATTTGGAAGTATACAAGTAGATAGATATTTGCTATGCTACTATGTATCATTTATTCATCAGAAGTGTTGTTACTGTCCATAATATTGAGATATCGATGATCTTTGAGGTGTTTTCTCTCGTGTCGCTGAACACCTTGGAGATTATAGAATGTTAGCGTTAGCACGTCTATGCTATGCTAGCTATGTATTGTAATGATTGTGACAGTGTTGTTCACTTGTACACTTGAGCTTCTATCTTTATTCTGATTATAAAGTGAAATCAAATCATCTAGATCCTTCTCCATGTTTATAGACCACAGTGTGTGTGTGTGTGTGTGTATAAGCGTGTCTGTGTGTGTATATATATGTGTGTGTGTGTGTGTGTGTGTGGCCCCTGGAAGTCCAGTGAAAGCATTTCACAGCTTTAAACGTTATTTGAGGAGGGCCGGAGGGCTCGACACCGATGACAGAGCTGTCAATCAAGCTTATCGTCACAGCAACACACACACACACACACACACACACACACACACACACACTGGCAGCTGTCAGTATAAGTGTCTGTGTGAGTCTCGTGTCCATCAGTCTGACAGACAGTTAAAGCAGCATTAAGGTCTGGCAGCTGGATCAATGGGGAGACAAATGATGGGCTCCACCGCGGAGCTGCACAGCGGGGCCCTCCGGGGCCCAGCAGGCAGCCCTGTGGCGGAGCTGCGTGTGTGAGCCCTGTGACTTCTAAATAAACACACATCAGGACCCTTTTAGTTTGGAGGGGTTTTCACAGGACGTTGCTGCATTAAATGTGATGCATTATGGTAAATATTTCCCATGACCCTTTGAGGCCCACCTGATGACGTCGTCTCACCTGTGCTGACTCCGGAGTTGGCGATGACGGTGGCGTCGGTCCACTGGTCGGCGCTGGAGACGGAGTACGAGCGCTGGTGCATCCCCTCCAGACCGCGGCTGTTGAAGGACACCAGGCTGACGCCGCTCGCCATCTGAGACGCCGACAAGCTGCTGGTCACCTGACCTGAGGGAGGACGTCAAGGGTTAGACGTGTTCCCACAATGCACCTCTTTCTCTGACTGGCTGTGCGGTGTGCTAGCTAGCAAGCTAGCGGAGATGAGCAGCGGCTACAGAGATCTCACTCTTCTCTAAATCTAGATTTGCTTCTGGAGACACTAAAGACTTTAAAACACCTGGAAACACTTTAAAACACCTAGAAACACGTTGAAACACCTGCTTTTAGTCGTGAACTTATTTTGGAGGAAACACGTAAATATGAGGTCTAGATATTCAGAAATATGAGAATTCATTAATTTATTTTTATTTCAAGTTTTAATAAATACATAAACGTATTCAGGGGACCTGGTAGACTTTTATTTTGAAGGGGGGGTCAAAAGAGAAGTTGTTCAATACAAAAGCAGCTTCTCACAAGCCGGCTGCTTAAATCAAACCCTTGAGTTGTTAAGAGGCTGACCCCCCCCCC